AAAATATCGGTTGGCAGATTTCTTCTTGGAATTCGATGAAAACAAGTCGGCACATTTTTACAGTATGCGAATTAGAATAACACTGTGGATAAGTTTTTTGCTGAAAATGTTTTTCCCAAAAAACACTTGGTTGAATTCTCAGAGAGCCGATATTTTCTTGTCAAGGGGCAGGGGTAGTCTATCATTATTGGAATTAATTATGTGACTAGTATATGCTTTGCAGGTGGGATTTGTACTTGCCTTATTCGGAAAAGATCTTTAGAAGTGAATGGAATCATCAAATTGTCATTTGTTTAATAACAACGGCTTTTGCAGGTCCTATGCAACCCATTTGATGGGTGACGCACGACGCACGACGGGCGACGCACGACGGAAAATGGCATGTTTGGAACTGGTAAATGGCAGAATTGGGACACAACAAAAAGAAAAATGCGACGGACGATGGGCGACGGCAGATATGGAATTCCATACAAACCAGCCAGTCTACGAATAGCACCGCCTATACGTTCGAAAAAAATCATAACCAGTTTTATATCGCACCGGCGCCGTGCAAACTTGAAATTAAAATTGTGATGTTCCTCGAGTTGTCACTGTCAATTGCAATTTGCATCGACTCTTCCTTTCAGATGATGATCCCGATTATTGTATCGTGCTCATGTTTTTATATCACTGAGGCATGTTCGAGACTTTCGACATCAGATCATAACATAGAAACCACGAATGTGGCATTCTGTTAGATCGAGTGAGATATTTATAACGCTCTCCAAATCCGGCCATTCTTCCGCCATCTTGCTATAAGCTGTGAAAGCGTGACTCGAAATAATTATGGTCTGTACAACCACAACCCGCCACTCAAATGAAAGCAAATAGGCCTAGGCCTTATGACCAGATCCATCGAAAAAATCAGCGAGGGATTGTGGGACTTCGTTCCTGGCGTGTGTGAAGGAGAAATGGAGTGGCACGCTAGATGACATTGTATAAATTATGAAAGAATGGTTAAAACGTTTGGCAAATTAAAACTAACCATTACAAAATAACTCGATATTCATAGGCGCCATGAAGCCCACTTTGTTTTGACATGGAAGATTCTACCTCCATGGTCTTGATGAGCAGTATTGTAGCTCTCCGCGGTACACGGCTTTTGATGACGCTTTTAGACTGGAACTGCATATCCATGTTAAAACAGACAGTCAAACGATGATCGGAACCCAAACTGGTGAACAGTAATCTGCTCACTTGTTTTGGCAGGATAAAACTGCGAGATAGATGCACACACTGGTGACCTGGTGACGTTGAATACTGTGAAGGGACAGCTGACACCTTTTGCGGCGGACCAGCAGACTGGCCAGATATCGGAGATGGAATTGACCTGGAATATAACCCCACAAATATATTTATTCAACCTAACGCAAGAATGAGCTGCTATCCAAACGCATGGGGGATAATGGTGGACTATGCCTTAGGGCTGTTTGTTTGGTGGAAGCCTAGTTTACACCACTCTGTGACTAGGAAATTGATTCCAATGTCCATAAAGGTCAACAGAAGTGACAGACTGGACCAAATACCATGGTACTAGTGATTTCAAAGACACATATGATTGGTTTATTCAATGTCAGTGCTTCTTTACACATAAAAGCAATTAATTATGTACAAAATGATCCTCACGGGTAGGTAGTCCTTACTGGTCAACTGCAATACTATAACTGCCTATCTTATACTTGTAGTGGATTGAAATTTAGGCATGACCCAAACAGTTGAGAATGCTTAATTAAAATTTAAAATTGTGAACAGACTCAAAGGTGCATGGCTGCACAAGCATGTGTAAATGAATATGTAAATGCACTTGAGAACTACATAAACAAGATCATGCGGGTGACTGTGCGTATGAAAGAACAATTGAAAACTGATTGTGGGTTGCAACAGGTCACCTTGTGCCATAAACTTTTTTAAAACCCATTTTCATTCCTATTCATATATCATATTATTATGCTTATGCATATTCATGACCTTTTCTTTTAGGTCAAAGGTCAAAGTGTGCTAGACAGGCCTCCCCCCACTACTTACGCCACGTTTTTCATTTGATTTGATTTATTCACTATTTCCACAAATTATTATTACAAAAATTAATTAAAAGCAACTCAGCGATTCCCAGTAGTGGAAACAGTAGGGATAACGCACAAAATTGAATTAACTTATTTCCATTGTGGTCCCACCTGGTGAGAAAATTAATCTGAATAAGTACATGTACAGCAGAATAGATTTTAAAAATCCATCAAAAATTATAAAAGCTGTCAACAAATCAACATACACTATCAGAACATTGCTCTCCCAACCCCCCTGAAAATTGCGCTTTGTTTCATACAGCCACAACTTGTACAAATAATAAAAATTGTTATGTTTAACCCCGTCCATTACAGATACATGTTGTTGAGAACAACAAAAAAGCCCCAAAACAACAAATTCACAAAACAAATAACAACCATAAAACTTGACGCTTAGCTCATCAATTGAAATTATAATTAAGACAGTAATTAATAGATGTTCTATTAAAGAAATGCAACTTTATGTCAGTGATTATTTACACTACAAATATCTAAATTCAAGCATTAATAAAATTGAGGCATCAGTTTCAAGCTTATTGCACTCAAAATATATGTGGCATCCTGCTGGGATATCTGGTACATCTTCATCTTTATTTAGCTCTATCGGCAGCACGAATTTCGTTATAAGGAAACTCAGCT